TATTTTTCAAATCTAATATATTTTGGTACATATCAGACACAATTTCTATATAAATTTAACCTATTCAAAAAATATTTTGAGAAACTATTATTTATTTTGCAGTTATTGACGAATGATACGTATCTTCGACCACATGAGATTGTGTTGCAGTTTGGTCAAATTCTTTGGCAACAATAATTTTTTCAATTATTAAATTTATTTTATATAGAATTGACGGGTGTGCTACCTCATTGTTATTTTTACATAAATTGTACTTCTTGAAATTTTTTATCTAGGAATATTATTTATCATACAGTCATGTGAGACATATCTTCTGCCACATGACATTATGTCGCAACTTGACGAAATTCTTCGACAACAATACGTTCTTTTTTTTTAATTACTTAATTTATTTTATAAAGAATTGATGAATGTGCTACTTCATTGTGGTGTTTTATATAAATTTTACATATTGAAATTTTATCTGAAAATATTACTTATCATACAATCGATGCATATCTTTGGCCGCATGACATTGTGTTGGAGATTGATCAATTCTTCGACAACAACTGGCTTTTTTTTTTTTTTTTTTTTTTCAGTTACAAAATTTATTTTATATAGAATTGACAGAGGCGTTATCTCATTTTTACTTTTTTTATATTAATTATACTTTTTGGAAGTTTATCTGAGAAGATGATTTATTATACAATCATCTGAGGCAGATCTTGAGACGGCATGACATTGTGTTGCATCTTGATCAAATTTTGCAGTAATATATATTTTTTTCAATCTTAAAATAATGGTGATCAGGTTATTTTGGGCAATAATAGGGATTTTTTTTATGAATTAAAATTGCATTGGATCTTGGCTTATGGCAAATGATCAGATATAGAATTTATGAAAATAACGTTGTTATAGACCCTAAAAATGCTATATCATAATTGATTATATACTCTTTGACTAGTAAGTTTTCAGGTCGAACACGGGGGTTTCAAGTTATGAAATTAAACTAATAAATACTTAATGAGTTTGGCTGATTTGGAAAAGCATTAAGGTGGCTCGCTGGCGAGCAAGCCGAAAGATGTAAAAGATAGGAAAGTAAATAAAGTAATAAAGATGAACGGTAGTAATTGTGGGCGGAGTGACGGCTTGCGGGTGATGGGTGTTGTGAATGCGCAGATGAGCGGATCAGTAGAGATGGTAGGTGAGTGATATATATAAGATGATTTGCGAGCGGTGTTTGATAGTGATGGTGGATTATGTGAGGCGTCTTAAAGGCTGTTTTGTATGGCCACAATCCATCGTCCAATTTCTCAGACCCACTCTTACGACTTTTGTTAACTGTGGTCTAGAGGATATGTTTAATTTTTATATTTGAAATCTCTATTTGGACGCTCACTTGGGGATGATAGGGAGTAGTTAGATACTGGCGAACACCATACTGTTGAAGACAAACCTGTAGTGCCTTATTAACAAAATGAGTGTCTTCATCGCTGATGATCATTCTAGGGACTCTGAACTTAGGGAATAAAATGTATTTAAGGAAGCAGATAACTGAGTGGGCGTCATTAGTAAGGAGTGTTTGCGCTTCAACCTACTTGTTCATATAATCCACTGCCACCAGAATATAAGCTTCCCATCGAGTTCGGAAATGGTTCTATGAAATCTATTCCACATACTTCAATATGTCAACAAACAAAATTTCTCTGAGGCATCTCATCCATCTTCGAGATAGAGCCCAATCTTTGGCATTTATCGCGAGATTTGACAAAGACATCAACATTTTTTTTTATAGGGTAGACCAATAAAAGTATGACTACAAAACTTTGGCAGCTGTTCGCTGGCCAGCAAAATGCCTTCCTACTAAGGATTCGTGACACTCATCCAAGATCAACGGAATTTCTGATTCAAAGACACAATGTCTAATCATTCCATGTAAGCCAATGTTGAACAAGTATGAATCATCCAAAAATAATTCTTTGCCAAACTAAGAAGGTGTTTCTTTTTCCTTTGAACTGTACGGGCAAAAATTGTCCATTAGCTATAAAATTGGCCTGATCTGCAAATCATGACTCTTTAGCCTGAACAAGGAACAATTTATCGTCTAAAAAGATTCATTTATACATGTGGATGTGTCCTCCAACCGTCTTAATTTACTTTAATGGTCTTCCACAATGTTCTTTTTCCTTTCCTATCCTTTATTTCTATATCGAATTCTAGGAGCAGCGGAACTCAGCGAATCAAGTGGGCCTTTATCTCATTCTTTTCCATCAAATACTTAATAGCCGCTATGGATTATGGTCAATTACAATTATTCAAATTTATTTTTTTTAAAATAAAATTAGAAATATAACTTAAAAATAAAATATTATATATGATTTACAAAAAAAAAAAAAAAACCATCTTATTTATTAAGCGAATACAAATGGAATCTAAATAAGTAAAAAAATATGTCGCTTCACAATTTTACAGTACCGAATAAAATGCTCAATGAATCAAAGAAAAAAAAAAATTAAAATCCTTATAAATTCTTGTTTTACATCGCAATGAGTTAATATGTATATACATATATTTTATGTAATAACATCGGAGCAAGGGATTGATTGAAGTTTCACCATGGAAATGAAGAAAGTTGTTGGGTAGATAGTAGAGATACATAGGAGTGAATACGGTTTAGATATTTACAAATATTTAGGTATTTGATATCCGAATTGAATCGAACAAATATTCGAAATTGTAAATCGTAATCGAACCAAAAATATTTGCAATATTTGCAAATAATTTGAATCGAATCGAAATAAAATATATATATATATATTAAAACTAACTAAAATTCTAGTTAAATAAAAATATTTGCAAATATTTCAAATATCCGAACCGAAACCGAATATAATTATTAATATAAATTTTAAAATATAATAATATAAATATATTCGGTTAGGTTAATCAAACCTAAAAAAATATAAAAAATCGAAACCGAACTGAATCTAACAAATATCAAATATGCAATATTTGTAGTTGAATCGAATTTGCTCGATTAATCAAAAATTCGGTTCGGTTCAGGTCGGTTCAACGGTTCAGTTGGATTTATTTGCTCACCACCTCTATAGAGAGATACAGGAACATGCGGTGTGCGTGCAGGCATCGCTGTTGGGAGAAGCGATTACCCGGAAAGGAATTGGTATAGCGCAATTGAATCTCGAGACTGGAACTCCGATCTACGAAACGAAGCGGAGCCTCTTCTCCTGTTCTTCATCCTCTTCAACCTTCTAGAAGCAATCTTCGGAGGTGCGTTAGGGCTTGGAAAGTTCGTCACTGATGAGGAAGAATTGCTTGATGCGTAACTGTAGATTAGTGTCTGCCATTTGTCTACCTGCAATCATTGGTTGAACAAACCCTACCTTACATTCCATGAACAAACAAACAAACCAACACTTTTATCACAATTAATGCCCAAATTTCCAGGAACTTGTCGAGTGATCGATCAATCACAAACTACATTCCATTTCAGTACTCACCAGTCGCCAGAATTCATATCGTGATCTAGGTACAGCATTCATGAATCGACACGCGGCGGAAGATGGACCCAGGCAGCGCATCGCATGAATTCCCTGCACTTTCGAATATTGCACGAGGGGCCACTGAAAAACTTGTATATTTAAACAAGACCACACAAGAATGGCACATGCACATCCCTTGACGATGAGTGACTAGTTTGCATGGTATTAAGTTCGGCCGACAAGTTTATTGGTATACACTTTCGGGCAGCGATTGCTAATTTTTACGCCATTAAAAAAAGATCTTTATTTATATATTTTATATTTTATGCGGGATAAAATAGATATTTTATTTTGAAAAAAAAAAATCATGCTACATTAAAGAATACATATACCTAACTAAAAAGAAATTTTGATTTTAAATTAATGAAAGGACAGATAATAGAATGCAAATAATAAAAAGCAATTGCAATCAACATGCAATCTCTATATACATTGTTTTGTATCAGTTTTTTCCAAGAAATTCCTCAATCAAGAAAGGAAAAGAAAATTCAGAAATTAGTTCAACCACCTAAATAATATTTCAGGTTTTGAGTATAAAATCAATATTTGAGATTATTATATTTGATTGTTTAAAAAAAAGTTAAATTTTTGAAACAAAAATAATTTTACAAATCAACAAAATCCAAGGGACTTACGTAATTGACACTAAGCAATGTATTAGGTAGATAGTAATAATATTATAATCTGGCCACCAATAGACTAGACTAATTGAACTATTACGATCGACCTTTAATAATATTTTCAAGATTTAAAGTATAGAGTCGATTGCTAATATATATTAGGGTTGATTATTTTATAAATGTTAATTATGAAAAAGAAATTTCTTTAAAACGAATTCGATCCACTGGGCTAGCGTGACAAGATCTAAATAAATAGTTTAGAACAAAAGAATTATATTAGGTCGAATTGCTTTAAATTTATACATCATCGAGAAAACAAATAGTCCACAGACCCACTAGACCTATTGGGCTGATGAGACGATTCTAAATAATACTTGAGGCTTTACTCTGGGCTTATATTTATATACTTTAATTGGATTTGACGGATGAAAACGAATCATCTAATTAAATTTTAGCCCAAAAATAAATCGATAATATGGTCCATTTGATCCAATATAAAAAGTTCTAGGATCTTCGATAGTATCGAATGGATAAGTTTTTAAACCGCCTTAAATTTTTTATAACGTTGAATTATGTGATTTTACATTAAATATTATATAAATTTATTCTACCTAATATATAAAAAGTTACTCAATTATAATAGTTACTTTTCAATGAATTATGAATGTTTAGTCAGACAACACTGATAATTTTGAAAATGCATTCCTAAAATTTATTTTAAATGGAAATAGCAATAATTACGTATATTTAGGGACTAAGGTGCAAACACAGCGCAGTCCCAGCTGCCTGTAATAAATAAAATTGGAAAAAGAATAAATAGAGGAAAAGGGCAGAAATGCAAAGGACTCTTTCTCTCTCTACTCTCTTCTCTCTTCTCTCTCTTTGCATCTCTCTTTCACACACAACACACACTGCGAAATCTCAGCTCTCCACCTCACTAATCTCAGAGGCCACAAATCTCTCCCCGTTCCCTTAAACCTCAAGCCCCGCCATAAATCTTCTTGATTTTTACATTCAGCAATGCCGGCGTCCTCATCTGGTAAATTTGTCTAAACCCCTAATTTTACCTTGTACTTGTTTGCCATGGGGCGCCCTGATTTGTGTATGCACAGTCTGAGATTGATGAGTTGTTGTCCTTTATCTGCTGATTTCTGGATTTTGTGTAGTGGTGAAGGGTTTTTATTTTGTTCTTTTGGGGAAAATGGCCGTATTTGCCTGCCAGATTGTTGAATTGAATTATTGGGTATTGTTTTAGCTTTTGGGCGTGTTCTGTTGTTGCTGCCTTTTTGTGAATTAATTACTAAGGGAACTTGATTTCAGGTTTTGTTTTGCGATGGAATCTGGCGTTTCGGATTTCGTGTTTTCCGCAATGTGTAATATATTTGGCGTTTTGTTAGATTTTGTTTGTCACTTGTGTTTACGTGGTGAAACATGTGGCTTATGGGACTATTGCTAATATAGAAAATGACGATTTATATTTATGAATATGGAGTTTGAAGTGTACTGTAGTTGAAACGATTAATTATGTTATTGATGTTGGAAATGTATTGCCCTTTAGCTCTCGTGCTGTTCGTTCTGATCAACAAAAGTTGCTTAGTTTCATTAATTGTGGTATTTGGGCTAACTGAAAAAACTGAAGTCGTGCACTTTTGTTTCTGTTTGTTCTTTTTCATATACTTTTCAAGAAACAAGAGCCCGATGGAGAAAAAGGAAGAGGGATCAAGCTGCTGCAAGGAGATCCAAATTGAAAGAGCATGAAGAAGATGCAATGGAGGACATAGAGGAGGAGGAGGACGCTGATCTTGACCCTCCCAACCACCTCCAGGAAGGGGAAGATGATCCCCAGCACCACACAGAGATGACTCATATCTCTGGTGAAAGAGAGAGTGAGAAACTGGTTGATGGGGGTGTCCGGATCTGTGATTTCCCAATTGCAATCCGAAGGGAAGTGAATAGGCCACACTCATCTGTTTTCAGGATTGTGGATGCTGAGAGATCTACTCTGAATGGTGGGAGCAGCAGGCATGGGCAAGGTGGAGTGCCCATGTTGGAGAATATTTCACATGGGCAGCGGCAAGTTCTATCAGCCGTGCCCCGCGATAGTCCAATCCTTTTGGGGTATCAGCAAGATGAGGCTGCTAGCTGCAGTGGGGCTGGGTCGTATGTCATTGCTCCTCCCAGGATTGCTGCTGGCAGCGGCATGTGCAAGAGGCTGGGGTCTGCAGGCCGCCCTCATTCTTTGCCAGTTCATTCTGGTATGTTCTATCTCTATAATTTAAATTGCCATACATATCTTATGTTCTCCTTTATATGTTTTGTATGCTTTATATCAAATTTCGACAATAGAAACTTGGTGGAGTGTAAAATTGTTTTGGTTAAATCTGAAGTCCTGTGATATAAGAAATAGTCATGTTCTATTTGAAATTATCTGTGAGTTTGGATGTTATAAGTAAGAAACACTGCTCACTTGGGTTTATGCTCGAACATAATAATTGGTGATGTGATGTGATAAGCTTTTGTGGAGAGTTAATGTAGTAATTCTCACATTGTTGCAAGCTGTCAGAATTCAATGCGTGCGCGCTAGGTGCGCATTACGTGTTATATGCTGAATTAATTCCTTGAAATTTTTGTGTTTGAATTCTATTCATTAGCTGATTTTCTATTATTTTCATTCTCCTTGTGTCATTTTGGAAGTTATCTTGCATTACTTTTGCCATTCTGAGCAGAAACCATCTAACTAATTTTGCCTTGTTTTGTTGCCTAAACAGAGTGGTTTTCACTGCAAGCCGTTCACCGACTGGAGAGACAGGTTGTGCCGAACTTTTTCACTGGGAAGTCAGCCGAGCACACCCCAGAAAAGTACATGGCAGCCCGAAACTCCATTGTTGCTGGATACATGGAGAACCCCGAAAGGAACCTGACAGTTGCTGACTGCCATGGGATGGTAGCTGATATCGAGGAGGAAGATTTGAGTCGGCTTGTAAGGTTCCTGAATCACTGGGGAATCATCAACTATTGTGCTACCTCACCTAGTCATGAGGCCCAAAGGGATGGGACTTACTTGTGTGAGGACACAAATAATGAACTTCTTGTGCCTTCTGCTGCCTTGAATTCTATTGATGGTTTGATCAAGTTTGACAGCCCAAAGTGTAGGTTCAAAGCCTCTGATGTTTATCCAGAGCTAGCAAGTCAAGCCGCGGATAAATCTGACTTTGACAGTACCATCAGAGAGCATTTGTCTGAACGTTGCTGCAGTTGTTGTTTTCGGTCCATTCCGACAGTCTATTACCAATCTCAAAAGGAGGTAAATGCTCTGTTATAAAAATAATACTTGCTTAACTTAACATCATTGCTTCTAATAACCTACTTCAAATTTGATTGCTTTGAAGTGATTATTTACTCGTTCAAGGGGAGAGCACTAAATCCCATATAACTAACCTTTACAATTACAGGTTGATGTCCGCTTGTGTTCTGATTGTTTTCATGAGGGAGGATTTGTTCCTGGTCATTCAAGCCTTGATTTTGTGAAGGAAAACTCCATGAAGGATTATGGAGAGTCTGATGGGGATAGTTGGAGCGACCAAGAGATTTTTGATCTGCTGGAAGGAGTCCAGCTTTACTCCGAAGATTGGAATAAAATTGCTGAGTTTGTTGGATCAAAGTCAAAATCTCAGTGTATTCTTCAATTTCTCCGTCTTCCTCTTGATGGCGCACCGTTGGATGATATTGAGGTTCCAAGCACATCTGGATCGTCAAGGAAGGATTCCGAACCAAATTCAAATGGTATGTGTTACTGTTACCCCTCATACTCAGTGGCTATGTATAGCGAGAATTTCTTTGAATTTCCTTTGTATTCATTGTGATGCAGGTTCCTCTTCGAAAGACGATGGTATGGAAAGCAAGTTACCATTTTCAAGTTCTGGAAATCCGGTGATGCACCTGGTGAAGTTTCTTCCTCATTTCCTCTCTTTTAAGATACATTTGTTTTTTTTTCGAATGTTCTTGTACATCTCATCTGCTGCTGTTTACAGGTTGCATTTCTCGCGTCTGCATTGGGGCCAAGGGTGGCTGCAGCTTGTGCACATGCATCCTTGGCTTCATTATCGAAGGACAGCCGAGACGAAAGTCCTAATCCAGAAGAGGGTGCAGTATCTGCTGCAAATGTGAGGGCTGCTGCAGAAGAAGGCCTTATAGCTGCAGCCTTGAAAGCCAAGCTTTTTGCAGACCATGAGGAGCGGGAAATTCAGCGGTTGTCTGCAAATATTGTTAATCACCAGGTGATATTCTTGTTCTCATTTTATGAACTTATTGATCATATTCATAACCCCTTTACCTGCGCTGTTCCTGTTTTCTGTTTTACTTAATTTTTGGGAATTCTGTCGGGATTATCTTGTTTAACTTGATTGCATAGTATGTCCCAATTTTTTTCCCCCCCCCCCAAGTTCTACATTTATTAATGCACTGCAATCTAACCACACTTCTTTTAGTTGAAGAGATTAGAGCTGAAGCTGAAGCAGTTTGCTGAGATCGAGACGCTGCTGATGAGGGAGTGCGAACAGATGGAAAGGGCGAGGCAGAGGATTGCTTCGGAGCGTGAGCTTTTGGCATCATCACAGTTTGGATACGGCGGGGTCCCTCGACCTTTGGGCACACCAGGCGTCGCTGCTACTGCTACAATGAACACTAGTGCAGGAAATAGCAGGCAGCCGCAGCAAGTTCCAGGCTCGCAGCAGCCTTTTATGGGTGGATATGGCAACAACCAGCCGATGCACCCTCACCTTGCCCTGATGCAGCAGCCCGGGGCAGTGAGTCTGGCTGCGAGGATGCCCATGTCAACCCGGCAGCCATCACCATCATCAGCTTCTAGCTCAGGAATGTTCAACCCGGCTTCCACCCTGCAGTCTATCCCCGGCCATCCGAGCTCAGGCCTGGTCCGTCCCGTGGAAAGCCGAGTTCAGGGTAAGCCCTGATGTGCTTTTATGTGCTTTGTTTTGGGAGTGAAAGAACAGATTATTTTGAGAGGATGGAGTGAAAGTACAGATGGTTTTTGAGAGGCTGGAGTGAAAGAAGAGAAATTTGTGGTAATTTGGGGGATGAAGGAGAATGAACAGGCGATGATTATTTGATTTTGGTGAGTAAGAGAGAACAAAATTGATAATTTAGGTGAGGAGGTTGAGAGAAAGAACAGGAGAAAGGTGGATAAGCATAGCACATTTTTTATTTCTAACGTAGCATATATAGTTTCGAGCTTGACTTAGATGACATGATATGCATCAACAATGAATGAATGAATGAAGCATTATTGATTCAGGCTGCAAGGCTTTTTTATGTTAGAAATTTGATTTGAATAGATGAATGCAAAATTTTGAATTGATTTTAGAAAAATTGTATGTGTGGTATTATTATTATTATTATTATTATAATTATTATTATTTTCTTCGAATTTTGATAGTAATTTGTCATTTAAGATTTGATAATACAAGGGTTTGTTTTCGTCTTACTTTCTTTGTAGTTTACGACGAGCAAGATAGTTTACTTATTTATTACTCGAAGTACAACACACTTATGTCAATGATCAACACGCAACACGTGCGTATCAAGATATCAATGCGTGCAAGACTCGTGCGCTACTATATGAGAGAAGCCACCATTTTTTTGTTTATGATGTAAGAATCCGCCAGTTGTGCTCTACGTAAATCTTCGGTCGAACTTAATAGCCTGTAAATTATGCTCCACAAAACAAACCACAATTTTTATTTTTTTTTATTTTTACTTCTATATGGTTTAAGTTCTCCAATAATTTGGTAAACAATTTTCTTAGACTTCTACCCATTGGGGTCGCTGAGCATGGGCCTTTTGGCTTCATAATAATACTACTATTTAATTGAATACTCAATTTTTATTATTTTAAATGTTTAAAATGAATTTATTAGTAAATTGGATTAAATTATCTCTTTCTCTATCTTAACAAATGAAATTTTATATGAAATTTATCAGGCATATATTTTTTATTTTACAAAATAACTTTGTAAATAACTTCACATATACAGTGTATTCAATATATCACTTTACTTTAGAAAGTGCAAAAATATTTTTCTTATCATTATATATATATATATATTTCAATAATAATAATTAAATAAATAAATGTTGTAACCAAAGCTTTATGAAATTTTATTTCTCTTTTTGCTACCAACTCTCACAACTCTTTTGTAATAACTATAAACGTTAAAGATAGAAAATTTTCATTTTAGGTTTGAATTAAGGTTATTGATTGCACATCGACTTTTTTCAACAAAGAATATCTATCAAAAATTTGTTTGAGTTCATGTATTTCTTCATATTTTTATTTTGCTGTTATTTCAGTTTTAGTTGCGGACCATTGATGACTGACAAATTGATATGTATGATAAACATAAAACTATTAAAAATTTATAATATATACCAATTGTTTGACGAGATGAGTAAAATGAGAATTCTTTTAAGTTTTTTTTTTTTTTTTTTTTTTTTTTTTTTTTTTTTTTGTCTATTCATTCATCTAGGGTGTGTTTGTTCGGGGGTTTGGATTGTGGATTGGGATTTAAATAGTAAAAAAATTGAATTTGAATAGTTTATGATGTGATATAAATATGTATTGATGTGATGTTTTGAATATAAAATTAATTTTTAGTATAATATAAAAAATTAAAAATAAGTGTTTGATAGTGATATTTTTGGAGAGAAAATCTTATGTGAATACTATAAATCCACTCCAATCCTTCAAACAAACACACCCTAATGTTTCCCTTTACCAATCATATATAAGCTTCCTTAGAAATATGAATTAAATCTCTTAACTATATTTACATCTATGCTAATTAAATTAGTCACATGATAAAAATTATCATTCATTTTAGGCAAAATAGCTAAAAACCCCCATTTGGTTTTACGAAATCGCTGAAAACCTCCTCTGCTTCTAAAATCCCAAAATACTTACATGTGGTTTCAAAATTGCTACATACTCGCCCATCCTTCAAAATAACACTAACGGCGTTAAAAATTGCACGTAATGGACCGTTATACCCTTATGTGTATTTTTACTCTTTACTTGGAAGATAGGGTTTTCGATCGTGATTTCACTGTACCCATTCACACCTCTCTGATCGACGCCCAGGTCCGCACTCTCGACGCTTGGGTCTGCCTCACTCTCAATGCCGCCGTTTGCGCTCGACGGCGACGCTCGCCCACACAGCCATCGATCGCATCCCTGTTCCATCTGCGTTTTGACCATCGGCGCCCAAATCTAGGGCTTGAAAATCGGGTTTAGGGCATCGACTTTCTACTTGGGTATAATTCCTATAATGTGAGTAGGAACATATATTCTTGCCAAAAAAATTAGATTTTAGTATCATTCGCCGTTCCTTGAGCGACGACTCAGGGGCAATATCTGCTTGGGCACACATATTTTTTTCTGAAAAATACGATTTTAGTAAGATTTTATATGTTTGGGTTGGATACATTATTCCCTCAATTGTTGTGCATTATTTGTCGTATCTTACTAATCTATGTGGCATTTGATTCATTTTGGAATTCGATCTTTTTTTGGTGCAGCGATCTTACAGTCAGTAGGTTGTGGTCCCCCAATAATGGACCATTTATACACGATATATATGTGGGTTGGTGGGTATAATGAGTGGGAGGGCCCATGTCGTCGCTATAGGGGTGGTAGGAGTGTTTGGTTTCCAAATATTGACAAGGATCAAATTTATTACCGTGCTCTCTTGGATATGTATGTCCGCCCTGGGGGAAGAGCAGGGGTTGTAGAACTGACACATTGGAACCTGATGTCATGGAGCTAATCTTCGAGGTCCGATTTACACAATTAGATGCGACGAAGATGTTTTGGAAATGTTCAAGATCCATTACGGGAAAACTATGATTTCCATGTACGCCGATGATAAAGGCTTTCCAATGAGAGTATGCAATCAGAACGGGCATCTAACAAGGAATCCTGAAACGGATGTACAATATCTAGAGTGGCGTAGCGAAGTAGGGGAAACCAGGGGTCCGGCCCACGCGCCTGTTAGGCAAGATGATGACAGTGAGGATGTTACTAATGACGTGGTTGTTGACGATGCAATGGTCATGGATGATATGTGCGGGCTTAGGAATGATGATTTTTAAATCGAAGGAGTTGAGGACTTAACATATGGATTTGATCCGCACGACGAACAAGTGGATCAAAAAGGAAAAAGTATTGCACAGTCGGGAACGGAGGAGGAGGAGAGCGATTGTGACGATGAGGACGATGAGAGCCAGGGGGTTTCGAGTTCATGGGTGATGAGGAGCAACTTTGGACGGATTATACCGAAGGAGTGCGAGGTCATAGTTGGCACCAAGCGGAGCATGCAAGCCCTGTCGGTAAGATCTGCTACCATTTACATGACTTCGTATCTTTTTTTCTTAATGATTTGCAATAACACGTTGCTGAAAATTTCACAACTTGTGTAGATGAGGGTGTCGATGGAGAGCCATGGATGGATTACAATGAAGGAATGGGAGTTCGTGGTTCGCACGAGCTGGAGCACGCAAGCCCTGTCGGTAAGATCTGCTACCATTTACATAACTTCGTATCTTTCTTTTTTTTTAATTGATTTGCAATAACACGTTGCTGAAAAATCTATAACTTGTATAGATGAGGGTGACGAGGATGACGGTCACAACACTGATGCCGACGAATACTGAAAGGATTTACGAATTTATCGAGAGCGGCAGAAGGAGACTGCATGTGAAATGGAGCATTACGAATAATTGTTTCTAAATCTGAAAACTGAATTCCAGTGTGGTTTTACAAATCTAAAAACTGCATTTCAGTGTCTGCATTACTACTAGTACAACACTTCTGCTACTAAACACCACACTTGCCAATATTTAAGAGAACACAAGACGAGAGGAGATGAACCGTCGAACGTATAACAATTATTTAAAACAAAACTTTCGGTATGCTAAGCAACATGGCACCAATCATAACAACCTTGATGTACCTCAGCGTAGCTCGCAAGGCTTTTATTTAATGGCCTAGTTCTTCCACAACTATTTTCAGTTGAGACGCTTCATCCACAACCACTTTTATTTGTTTGAGTTGCTCCTTATCAAGTGCTGCAGATTGAACCTCCGGCTCGCCCATTTTATCACCACCGTTGCTCCACTCCCCAATGTGAGTGCTCACCGGATCAAGCCAACGAAAAAAATCACAGGCTTCAAGGCGGCAATTGCAGAATATTTTTCCTTGTGTTTCCTTCGTTGGACCGACAATACGGATTGCTGCAGCAGTCCCACACTTACATCGTGGACATCAATACCTTAGATCAACATCTCCCCGCCCCCTAGGCTTCGATTTTGAGCTGCTAAATGACATCTCTAGTAAAATTCAATGGTAGATATTAAAATGATTGTAAAAAGACACAAATATATCAAGCACTTGCTTCCAGTTAAACAATTTGTCAGCCACGTAGACTTCACTCCATTTCATTGCAAAGTACCGCAAAAATTACAAATTTAAGATTGAAATTAGATCCTAAACAAAATCCAGTCCGATTAAAATAGTCTAGTGCAAAAAATTAAGGGGTTTATTTTTAAGCTGAAATACTGAAACCAATTACCCACAAAATTGATTCTAAAAAAAATTACAGTATTGCCGCTGCCAATTACATACAAATGGGATTTGGAGTTTCCAAATGAATTACCAAAACCAATTACCAAAAAAAAAAAAGTCCAATTCGCACATCAGATCGGCACACACAGAGATTGGAGAAAATTGCAACTTCGCTGAAGACACACGCCTATACGAGAATCCGATTCACGAAAAAACAATATTCATACTAGATCCACAACAATATTGCAATCTCACTGAAGAAAACCCAAACCCGATTTGAGAAAATCAAACACGATTTCATAAAGAAATTTCGGAAAAAATAAACACCAATTTACGAAAGCTCGACAAAATAAAATAAACTATTGTTAAAATTAGATATACCTGAAGTTTGTGGAATCCTAGCTTTGGCCCCAATAGGGTAGATGCGGCGTGGGACTTCAATCAGTGACTGCGATGGTTGGGTTTTGGGTGAGAAGAAGATAGGGTGAAATAAGCAAGGTGAACGACAAAATAATACATATATTAAAGTCTGAGAGTATTTTAGTAACTTCGCGGTGGAATCTATCAGTTTCTAAACAACAAATCGCATTTGAAGCGCGTGAGATACACCATCTGTTCAGTTATAACGGATGGGGGTTTTCCTGCAACAATTTTGAAACCACATGTAAGTATTTGAAATTTTAGAAACATGGAGAGTTTTCAGCGATTTCGTAAAATCACATGGAGGTTTTACGCTATTTTGCCTTCATTTTATAATATATATATATATATATATAAACATAATAAATTTACGTTGAACTTCTATCGGTCAAAAACTAAATTGTAATATCCAATAGCAATAAGGTCCATAAATAAATATGAGAAATAACATGCAAAGAATTTCATGACAACATAATGTTGATGGCGAGCATATTGATACTGTTGGCATTAGTGATATAAAAAACTGATAACATGCAAAGAAGCAGTGACGAAATCAAACGCCTGAAACTCGCACTACAAAAAAATAATATATTTGTAACGGAATTTCGTCCCTAAAGTTCACGTAGCTAACATAATTTCATTCCTAATTCCGTCTCTAATGTCATTAGTAACGGAAAAAGTAGATTTAAAGACAAAAAAATTTTGTTACAAAAATAATTTTTTCTTATAATGTCGGGGGCAAAATATCTGTTAAAAATTTTAATATTCAATTAGTAAATTACAAAATAAAATAAATAATAAATATTTTGTTCTTAAAAAAAATTCAATGTCATAAACCAAAAATATTAAGAAAGGTAATTCATGTTTTTAATATCCTATATTTTGATATTGTTTCTTAATGAATTTATTTTTTTAATTTTTACAAAATTTTCTTTCTATACAATAATTTTTACAAAATTTTCCTTCTATACAAATAAAATAAAGAAGAAGTAGAAAAAATATAAAAATAGCTATATGAATGTTTAAGATTTATTATTATTTTTAAAAAAAAATATGTTATATTTTTATAATTAAAAGTTGATATATTATATATTATAATCTATACAAGGCTGACAATACAATATTTAAATAGAGTGAAACTATAGATAAATTTTAGGAGTTGAATGAAAAGAATTTTGAAGATGAGCAATTTAAAATATATTAAAAAATTTAAAAATTTTACATATGAAAAAAAATAAATATATGCCCCCCAGCCACAATGTGCTTCCGTATATGCAAAGAAGCCTTTGTATATATATAGTGATTGTCGTTAGATATTGTAAACTGTGTTGGATTCTAAAACTACATGTGTCAATTCTACGAGCGCTTAATATCGAGTAAGTTATATTATACCCTATTGTATTTTAATAAAAATACACAAAATATCTCATATTTTATTTATTACGTAAAATTATTTTATGTTAAATTAAAGTATGCACAAAACTCCCTATTCATTCAAAGTTAATGTTTGATTGTAAATACACAGATAATTATATAAGTTTTATAATAATAAAAGAGGTTAAATATTTTAAAAAACCTTATTTGAATAAAATAACAATAAATAATTGACCAATATTTCATTTTATAATTTAAAATATACTTTCTCCGTTCTGGTTATCGTGTACCATTTTTTGTAGATACAAAAATTTAGGAGGGGTATAATTAAATAATTATCGTATATTAAAAATAATTTTATATTAAAATTAAATAGCTAATTAATCTAATTAAAATTAAAAAAAATTATAAATTAAAAAATTTAAAATAAATTTAAATTGTATAATTCTTTTTCGAAAAAAAAAAGTTACAGAATAAGTGGGACGGACGGAAATAAAAAGATGAACACGATAAGTGGGACGGAAAGAGTACTATTTAAGAAATTTTACCTTTTCATTTATATAAAATTTGCACAATTAGATGGGCAATTACAACCAAACATCTAATTTGGACAAAGAGTGTGTTTTGTGTGTACTTTTAAGTTAACATAAGAAGATTTCATATAAGATATTAAAAAGTAGGCAAATATTTATATATATGTTATTATATATACAGTAAGTTAAAAATACTAACAATGAGTATGATTTAATTACATGAACAACTCAAAATTTTAATCAAATTATATAAATATAGATAATGCGTATTAAGTAAGTTGATTTTATTAGTTACATATTTTTTATTTCAAAAAAGTTAAAATAGAGTTATATTAAGTACCAAAAATAGCAAATAAGAAATAAATACTTTTTTCTTTCCACAAAGATAATGGTCCTCGTTCAAATGAATTGAGTATACTTCTTGCAAAGCAAATCTTATTCTTTTGATTATTTTAAAAAAAAAATTAAAATTTTAATGGAAATATGAACCGACAAAGTTCTTAAAGCTCTGAGAATAAATCATGGCAGAGAGTTTACTTCTAATCTTTTTTATTGTACAATGAGGAGTATGGGATCTAGTGGGAATTAACAACTCTGCATACTTCCGAGTAAAATGAAGTGGCAAAACGAAAATTCGTACAGTGATTGAGTTGGCTTGTTCATGAAGAAATGCAAAGGATTACTATTTTTTTTTGGGAGGGGGTGCCGCTACTTTATATCTTCTTAAGTTATCTCCGACAAAGGCCGTGTGGAATCCAACTCCATATGAAGCATAGTGTTTGAACAAAGTATCAATGAGTTATTTATTGGTTTTTTGTTATACTGGCAATGTTTTACGCACATCTCCAATACAAAAATTAGAAGAAAAATAGGAGATGCTTATCTTTATTTAATACAATTCACAGTTCAAAGCTTATATATATATATATATTGTATAATCCTATCACCAAAAAAATCAACATGACCGGAGATGTTATGTTTGATGAACATGGTTGTTGGGCCTGGAAGCCAAAGTTGTAGACTAAAATTGATTATGTCTTGTCTCGAGATGAAGAAAACATAGAAAATATTCTTCGAAGAAATTGTCAGAACTCATCAGCATGAGGGAGTATAGATTGAGCTCTTTCTATCTACATGCTTGAAGTTGGGGTTCATTATATGCTTTATTTCTTGATGGTTCAAAAATATGGGATTGAACCCAAGACCTAGCCCTCAAGCGAAGGTTGTCTCGCTACTTGATTTACAAGGATTTGACCGAGAAGGTTGCTCGGTTTGAAACTATATAGATGACACTGGCATTGGTAGCTAAAAATACATAGAAGATTTTTCAATTTGATGTTAAAATGGATTTTCAAAATTGTGATTTAAATGAAGAAGTTTATCTCTTTGCCTCTCCAAGATTTGAGAATTCAAGTGATCCTAATAAAGTCCTTTGACTTTGGAGGACAACTTATGGTTTAAACAAGCTCCGAGAGCTTGGTCTTGTAAGATTGATGATTTCTTTTCATAAAAAAGGATTTGAAAGATGTATGCATGAACCGGCTCTCTATCTCAAAACTCAAAGTACAAGTGATTTTATGAGATTGAGCTTATATGTTAATGATATGATTTATATCGGTTCAGTTCCTCATCTTCTATCATAATTTTAGAAGTTCATGATGAACATGATTGAAATGATAGGCTTCGAGAAGCTCAATTAATTTTTGGGCCTTGAGCTTGTTCTAAAAAATTGTGGAATATTGCAAATACTCTAGAGAAATTCAATATGTTTGACCGTAATTCTATTTCTACCCTAATGAATCTCAATGAAAAAATTGTGTCAGAGGATGAAACAGGTTGTGCAGATAGCAATTTGTTCAGGAGCAGAAATGTTCGATTAGTGTATGTAAAAAATTATCAGTTTAATAATTTCTCTATTGGTGTATTATCTCAATTTATGCACACAATTATTTAACTTCTTATGTAGTAAATGTTCGTAATAAGTGATAGAGACACATCAAATTTAATTGAGAAAACAAAAATTCACGAAGAAGGGTAGACGAATGAATTCAGACACAATTGATACAAGCGATTTTATGGCTTTGAAATGTGCAAAGAAGACAACAACCGTACAATTGATATTCAAAGACACATCAAATGCTAGGTTTTTAATGTTGTGTGTGTGAAAAAGGAGAGATAGTGAAATATGAAGGTCTTGTGTCCTCACATGGGAAACACAAGCAATTCCACCTCACTATATTAAATCTTTGGCTCCATTAATGTTAAATAACAAATTGGCTTGGTTTTGGGCTTAATTGCTTGTGTCCATGCTTGAGCTTAAGCATGAGCTTGGGCTTGGTATATATACTATATATATATCAAAGACGGACTTTGGGACAGTGGGAGTTCATGAGCCTAGCCTAATAAATTAAATTCAATTTTGCAATTTTGAATTTAAGTCATACTTGACTAATTCAGGTCAATTATTAGATAAATGAAGTCGATTATGAAGTAATTTAAACATGCATTAGTAAGGTTGATTAATTTCGAAATTATAGAACAAATCTCTCTTTTCGTAATTGAAATATGCCACAACACCCTATATTAAAATCTATATAAAATATATTCAAAAAAGCTAAAAACCTCTCAGAATTTTATTTCTTTGGTCCGTTCTTTCCAAACGAAAATTCTCTGCAAACCAAGATATTCTCTGCAAACTTTCTTTGTTCTCATAACTCGGTTCGTGGAATCTAACATTCGGATTGTTCTCTCTATCTTTGAAAGCAATCGGTGGCGGACCAAGTTTACTTCAACAAGATCGCGTGCCACGCGAAGCTCAAATTCCGATTTTTTTTGGTTATGAGATTCGATTCACAAGTTACAATTTGGATTATCCATCTCGATTTTTGCATTAGATTTCTAACATTCTTGAAGCAAACTTGTGGTTCCCGGATTAAAAATCTGAGATGGATAATGAAATCCCCAATATCTATGATTTGATTCTGCCTGCCTAGAACATACCTAAGGATGAGGGAATGATCGATGCTATGCGCGATGGAGGCAACAAAAATTTGTACGATGATATTCAAATAGGCGCAGATGTGGAGGTGAATTCTAGCAAATCACACACTCCGGTTCCTTGATTCCCTAGTCGCAGCCAACTGGCACAACCGGTGAGGCTATCGAGCGTATTGGTACTAGACACGAGGCGGCCAAAAGGGTTGCTATCAAGAAGACTGCAAAAGGTACATACGAACAAGGCTTCAACGTTGCGATGGAGCGAGCGCAGCCTGCTACTGTGACCTCCAACTAGCTTGTTGCTAGACTGCAAAAACAACATTATGTTGATGCCTGTGTGAGATAGCCTGCTATTGTTATGCCTCGTTCGTAGCGTATGACTGCAGGACTTGTGTAGGGTCTCATTGTGTCTGTCGTACAACAATTAGAAGACTTAAAGGGCATGCAGTCAGTTGCTGTTCCGGACCACGTGATGTAACTTGTTCTTGCAACTTTTAGACAACCTATTGTTTTATCTGACCACGCTGAGTCTGACGGATTAGCTGCTGAATGATGCATTTGTTGTGCCTAAAGGATTATCGGAAGAACATAAAGCACAAATTCTGAAAATCTGGAAATGCTCAAACTTTATACGCAAAAACTATGTACTTAATGGCTTGAGCGACTCCTCTATGGTGTCCATCGGCATGCACTAATGGCTAAGTAGCTATAGGAGACATTGGAGAAGAAGTACATAACTGAAGATGCTGATGCAAACAAATTCAGTGAAACGATTTCTAGATTTCAAAATGGTGGAAAAAAAAGTGTTACGAAACAGTTTGTTGTGTTTCATTTGATTATGCATAAAATCCAGGCTGAAGGGATGGAACTGAGGTCTTCCAAATTACGACCATAATTGAAAAATTTCTGCCTAACTAGGATGGTTTTAAGATTTATTTAAAATACAAACAAAATGAAATGAATACATACAATAAAAATGGAAGAAGAAGAATAAGAGAGCAAAAAAATTATATGACTACTTAAACATAATCTTCTTTTATGTAGTGTTCCATCCAACTTAGATACTATTTTTTAGTTTTCTTTATATTTACGTTTCTTTGTTACGTTGAAATTAAAATGGTGGGACAAAAGATGAAGAGTATTTTTTAATTTTTTATATGAAATTTTTAATAATAATTTTTTAACGAACCTAAAAATGAAAAAATAAAATTTGATTGGACCAATTTTAATCTATGCTCTATAAAATATTATTTATAATTAATATGTTACTTCAAAATATAATGAAAGCTTAACCCTAAGAAACACATGGATCCGATTTTCTCTCTGATAATCAATAAGGGCAAAATGGATTAAGGCAGAAAGAGGGAAAAATCCAACACTATTAAAGTAGTCAAAATCGTTGACTTGGGTTGGGCAATAGTAAAAAGAATTGATAGCTTTTGATATCGCCACTCCTCGTCGCTTGAAAAAGCAGCAGCGTCATACACCGGCAAGCTTTGCGTGAAGAGGAGACCAAAGATGGGCGATCAGTTAGCGAGGGCCGAGGACTTCGAGAAGAAAGCCGAGAAGAAGCTCAAAGGTTGGGGTTTATTTGGCTCCAAATACGAGGACGCCTCCGATTTGTTCGATAAGGCCGCCAATGCCTACAAGCTCGCCAAATCATGTAATTCCATTTTACCTTTTTCTGTGTGTGTGATACAGGCGTTCGATGGATTGGTCCTTCGATTTTTTGTTCATTTTCATCGGCGTGATGCTGATTGCCTACATTTGTTAATTTTTCCATTTGTGGTTACAGATTGTGTTTGAGGTCTTCTTCTTTTGAAAAACTTGCGTTAGTTGTGTTGGGATTTTACTTGGGATGGGTTCATAATCGAGATTGATCTAAGCCGTTGGCAGTTAGGGAACTTCTAATTTGTTGGGGCTTTTGAAGCTATAGTTCATGATTGTGTGGTATTGAATTTCAGTTGACTTTAGAAAGCTATAAATTTTGAAAGACCCGATCTTGGTATGAATGCGCATGAACTGCTGTGAGAATTGTTCTCATAAAATTCGATAGCGGTGGTGCTGTGAATAATCAGTGTTGAATAATGATTTTTAACCAGGGGATCAAGCTGGAGCAGCGTATGTTAAGTTGGCAAATTGTCACTTGAAGGTGAGGCAATGTGCGAGTGTGGCTTGTACTAGCCTGAAATTCCCTAAATTATTCTTTTTTTGAAGTTTATGGTTTTCCATGTTGGTGTTTGCAGTTAGATAGCAAGCATGAGGCTGCTAATGCTTATGCTGATGCTGCTCATTGCTACAAAAAGACTAACATAAAAGGTTAGTTTATTTTGATTTCCAATCCTAAACGACTGTTTATGTTTGTTCTTATGTGTATGTTAGTGCAAGGAGGTTGCTAGTCTACTGATCCCAATAATCTGATAAAATTTTGCAATTTTACTTGTGTATTCCTGATAGGAGAAGGATGATCAAGGTAAATTGTAGTTGTGCCGTTTAGATTTGTTTATTTCTTACATGCTCTGTCATTTTGTATCCACTTTTGTATGCCCTTTTATCTGTGTATAACATGTTGGGAAGATCTGGATTCTGTAATTTTAACCTATTCGGTATTTATTTTTTCTTTGTCAAATGAATTCTTGCCTATCCTGTTTTCTTTGCAATGTCAAGCCAGAGTTTATGATTCTATCATTAATTCACATTGCATTCTTAATGCTTTGCAGAGTCAGTTTCATGCTTGGAGCAATCTGTAAATTTATTTATGGATCTTGGAAGGCTTAATATGTCTGCCAGATATTACAAGGTATTGAACATAAAATAGCTAACAGTGTCAAGAAAAGATTTATTTTATTTTAATTTATTCTTATTTTTTTTTAATTTTCATTTTTATAGTTCTGCAGTGCTTGGAATTCATCTTTAATTTTGTCTATCTGCCCCTTTTCCATATTTTTACACTAGATCAATAGCTAATTTTGTCTGCCTTTTATTGTGCAAATAGTTGTCCACATAATGAAATTTGAGCATATAATCATCACAAGGAAGAATCTTTTCTTGAAGAGTAGTATCATTATGATTTGAGAAAGCAAACAGAAATACCGAGCTTATGATTTCCTACCTTGCAGGAAATAGCTGAGTTGTATGAGCAAGAACAGAACTTGGAGCAAGCTATTTCGTATTATGAGAAAGCTGCTGATCTCTTTCAAAGTGAAGAAGTAACAACATCTTCCAATCAATGCAAGCAGAAAATTGCTCAATTTGCAGCTCAACTTGAACAGTTATGTACCTTACCTTTTTGTGGTCCATTAAAATTTATTCTATCTTTGATTGTTAATTCACTTTTTTTCTAAGTATGAGTTCCGTGAATGACTCATTATATTCCCAGTTTCATATGCATACCTTTTTCTTTTAAAACATATATTAATTGTGAATGTTTGTCTACATCCTTCAAAATCCTTATGATGCAATTATGAAATGCATAATAAAAACTCTATCTAACCTGGAATTTAGTCTTTTGAGGATAGTATATATTCTTGATTTGTGTGCGATAATGATTGAATTATTTGCTAAAAGTATTACTGTTTGATGCCTTGTCAGGTATCAAAAAGCTATTGTGATTTATGAAGAGATAGCTCGGCATTCTCTCAATAATAACTTGCTGAAGTATGGGGTTAAAGGGCACCTTCTAAATGCCGGTATTTGCCAGCTTTGCAAAGGTGATGTAGTTGCAATCAACAATGCGTTAGATCGTTATCAGGTACCTGTGTCTTGCCTATTTGCAGCTCAAGTCTTTCTGTCTTTGCGTGATGTACATTCTAGAGATCATAATTTACCCGCTTCATTACAGGAGCTAGATCCTACATTTTCTGGAACACGTGAATATAAGCTGCTTGCGGTATGTCATTGTGCTCAACCAATTAGTATTCTGCATTCTTATAATCTGTGGTGTAAAATTTATTTAGTTTTGGCACTAGATACTTATTTCTCCTGCATTGTGTTGGAATATACATTCATTTTACAATTTTCAATATGCTGCATAGTTGAATTCAGATTCGGCCTTTGTGTTATCCTTGCTTTTACATTTTTGAATCCTCGTACTTGTCACGGCTCCAGATATAATAATGCCTTTGAGACTTGAGCTGATAAATCTGACATGTCTCCGTTGCTGCCAATTCTTTGCAGGATTTATCTTCTGCTATCGATGAGGAAGATGCTGCCAAGTTTACCGATGCAGTAAAAGAATTTGATAGCATGACTCGGCTGGTAAGTGTATTATTTCATCTCTTAAACTTTATGTCAATTTTTAATGCATTGTGTTTGAACCTATCTAACCAGTATTAATTGTGAAACTATGAGAACTTTAATGGTCACCAAAGTATTTCATATTTTTATTGAAGTAGGTGAGATATAATTCATGATTAGGCATTTATATTTTTTGACCTTCATGTCCTCCTATATGGCAGTTCAGGAGCATTAGAATATTGAATGTAGATAACATATTGGAAGTAATCGAAGTAGTTGAAAATGCTTTCACTGCCAACATTGATATATAGGAGATTCAGACAGTAGTACATGTGTTTGTTTGTGTTTTTCAAATCCAATCCCATTATTCAGTAATCCCTCCCCAAACGTCTATTTTTTATTTTTTATATTATATTCAAAGCATCACATCAATACATTTTTATATTACATCAAACAACTATTCAAATTCAAAAGTTTACTAGTTCCAATCCCAACCCCAACTCTCTAAGCTCTATTGGCTTCATAATGTACCTCTTATCTATCTAGCCAAAATTCTCAACTATAATTATTATGTTTTTATCCTATTTTATACACTGGATTTGGTGCCTACGTACACATCATTTTAGAAAATATGTAAGATGTTAATATCTACTCCCTCCACCCTATTAATTTTGTTTGCTTTAGTTTTGGTGCTGTTTTTTTAAGTGGTACAATTTTGATAGTTTTCTTATGTTTTATTTGAAGTGATTGTATAAATTATATTTAGAAGGGTATAAAAGAAAAAATAACTTAAAACGTTTTGTGATGTCTCAAATTAAAAATAATTGCAAAAGATTTAGGACAAAGGTGATATTATTTTTCTTTTATTTGGTGCCTACATAAACATCAATTTAGAAAATCAGTAAGATGTTAATATATACTCTCTCAGTCTGCTCTCTCTGTCTGCGAAAAATATGTTTATATAAACTAAACATGAGTTTTAATGAATATAGGATTTGTTTCCTTTGTATTTTTGTATGGATGTATTTTTTATGTTAAGTATAGAGAATTGTATTGGTAATGTAAAAACTAATATTATGCGTTGAATTGTGTTGACTTTTTGTGAGTGAATACAATATATATTATATATTGTGTTAATATGTGTAAATATTATATTATTTTTTTCATAATATTTATAAAGAATCGTGCCAAAAGAAAACATTGAGTGAACAAAACCATAATTATTATATTCGTTGATTGTGACATAAATAAGGATATTTTAGAAAGTATATAAATGAGTTAATAAGGTAATAAAATTTTGGATAGATTGAGTGTGTAGATGTTGGTAGCATATATGTAAAGAAGTACAATGTTGAAGGGTATAAATTAAAATGTGTATAAATTATTTGCCATAAATGAAAAATACATAGGGTTTGTATGTTTTGTGAAATGGTTTGAAGGAATTTTTTATTTTTGTGAAGTAAAGAGAATTATGTAGATAATATAAAAATAATAAGTGTGTAATATATTAATTTTTTGGGGAAAAATGTGTATTTGCTTTTTCACAAAACAAACAAACCCATATTTTCTGTAGACAAACAAAAAAGAAAAACATGCATAAATTTGGTGGATGGATGAAGTATTATGTTCGATGCGACAAGGGTCTGTTTAATTAAGGCATGAAAGTCATCCTCTTTTCAGAAGCTAATGGTCAAACAATGTTCCGTTACTTGTTGTGTGCCCGAATTGGTTTGCTGATTGCCCGAGTTTCATCAATGGTTGCAAACTTGATCTATATTTGTATTTATTTCCACATGATAATTGGCACCAACAATCTGTTTTCCAAATGTCAAATTGTTGTGGCTAAATTCTGCTTCATATGTTTGTTTGTTATTGTCTCTGTCACTAAATGTGAAATCCATCTCTGATATTTACTTAATTAACCAACTCTTAGGATTCCTGGAAGACAACACTACTATTGAGAGTGAAGGAAGCCATGAAGGCCAAAGAGCTGGAGGATGATGATGATCTTACTTAAAATCCGACCCTTTTCACCATATTTGTCTCTGATGATGTGTCTGTTGTTTTTGGCCTGTATCATTTATACATACATACATATATACATTGTTCTACCGCTCGGGTTTGGTTTGTGTACTTGATGATTTCATATTTGGAGTGAAATTATGACTGCAGAAGTGTGTTTGCCTTTTGATTGTTGAATTTCATGTATTTTGGGTTGAATTCTACCCATTTTAAGTTGGTGACTTTTATTTGTGTGTGTGTAATTTATATTCTGGATTTTGATATTTTTGAGGTCCTCTGACGCCATAAAATATCAGTTATTAGATCATATTATTATTATTATTTTTTTTTATAAGTAAATTCCAGTTGAACCTAATACTCTACAAACTAGGCTCGACAGATAAGTTACACTAAGTCAACACTATGTGTCAATCATTTTTATTAATCATATCATTCCTAAAATTCGGTGTCCCAGCTAATGTCAACAAATCAGCTTGGACGGAAGGAGAGTATAAATCAATAATTAAATACATAATACTCCCTCCGTCTCCAATTTATATATCCATTTTGTTTATGCACGTGATTTTAGGAATATTAGTATTATATTTGGATAAAGTAGAAATAAAGGTAAAAAGACTAAATTAACTTGTATGATGTAAATGTAATGACATTTGTATAATATATTGTAAATTAGAAGGGTATTTGTAATGTTAGGTAGATAGTACAATTACTAAAAAATAAACGGATACTTTGTTATGGGACGAACCAAAATGAAAAAATGGATAGATTGTTAAGGGACGGAGGGAGTAAATAACTTCATTCATCTTAGGACTTAGATCTGTCAAAACGGGTTAGTGGGGCGGATTGACCCACAACCCACTCTAACCCGTAAATAAGCGGGTTGTTTGCGGGTCAACTCGCGGCGGGACTGATCAAAATTTTATCGGCCCAACCCAATCCACCGGCGGGTGGCGAGCTAAGCGGGCTAGCCCACGGGCTTTTTAAAAATATTAAAAGAATATTAATATTATAAATATTTTCGTAATTAATATTTAAAAATAGCTAAAAATAGTTTTATTGTAGAATTTAAATAATAAATATTTTAAAATAAATAACAAATATAAAAATTCTCAATTCCAAATATTATTAATTGGTGTATTTAAAAAAATTAATAATAAGAAATACTTCATTTTACAAATAAATCATAATTAATTTTATGAATTTGTAAAATTATAAAATAATAAAATAGAAGACGAACAAAACAAATGATAAAAAAATCGGAACAAATAACAATGTCATGAATAATAGAGAAGAAAAATATTGTGTAGACAATATTGATAATTTATTTAAGCTAATGATAATATAAATTTTATTTTATTCCTCTTAACTTATTTATAATTGTATGTTTGTAATTTATAAAAAAAAATAAAATATATTCTTATATTAATATTTGATTAGTTTTATTATAATTTTTTAATATGACAGTAAAAAATGGTAAAAAAACACACGAGCGAGTACTAATTACTCCCTCTGTCCCAAAAATGACGTCTTATTGGGTGTTGGCACGAGAATTAAAGAATAATAGTATTTAATTGAAAGTGGATATAAAGTATAATGTAAAAGACTAAAATACCCTTACTTTTTGAATAATTTTAAAAAGTAGGTTGTAATAATTAGGAGTAGGGATAATTTTGTTATAAAGTGAGGACCACAGTTACTAAAATAAGGAAACAAGACAATTGTTTTGGGACTGACGAAAATGGAAAAATAAGACAATTCTTTTGGGATGGAGGGAGTATTGTATTTACTTGACCCGCGGGCTAACCTACCCCACTCCGGACTAATCCACCCTCAACCCTTAGCCCATGCGGGTTGGCCCATTTAGGCTCGAATTTTAACGGGCTTAAAAAATTACAATCCAACCCTCCTTAAAAGTAAAGTGGGGCAGGCCAACCCGACGGACTCAATCCATTTTGACGGCTCTAATAGGACTTACTCAAAATCTTTTATTTCTGTCACTCTTTTCAAAAAAATATATATATTTATTTTTATTATATTTAAAATTTCAAATATTTTATAAAATTAATTTATGAAGTATAAATACATAAAAATATTTTTTTTATTTACAAAATTTTATTCTCTAAAAAATTAATATTCATATTGCATATAATTTTTTATTGCGATATAAATTTTAAATATTTGAATACATATTTTCATAGTTTAATCATTTATATTAAATTTATTTTAAAAGTATTAATATTATTAGTTATATAAAGCTAATAAAATAATATAATAACTCACTATTATCAGTTAATTAAATATCATTACCTTAAATACTGTGTTGATACTGTCTCTAATAAAATGTGTCAATTATATTAGGACGGAGGAATTATATTTAAAATTAATGTAATTTTGTATACCATACAATTTTATATAATATAAACAAATTAACTTTTATATGTAATTAATATAAATTTATTTATGCTACTATGTTAGGACTGAACTAATTGATATTATTAACTTTAGATCAAACACGTACAAATTTTATTTTAGGTTTTTTTTTTTTTTTAAAAAAAAATATATTGGGAAAAAATCAATTTTGGTCCCAATATAAAAAAGTTTATCTATTTTAGTCCCATTATAACCAATTTCAATTAATTTTGGTCCAATTATAAACAATTTTAATAAATTGTGTCCCATCGTTAAAAAACTAACGGAAATGGCTGACGTTGATATAACGGAAGGGACGTGGTAGTTGACCTGACAATTACACGGCCATGTACAATTATACACGGCCATATATATTTCAGTGCATAATTATACATGATCATGTTGTTAGACGGTCATGTACAATTATACACGGTCATGTTGTTACATGGTCATATATAATTCTATACAGCCGTGTACCTTTCTGATTTAGTCTAATTTTTTTTTTTTTTGTTATATAATTTTATTTTATTTTATTTTTTAATTTAGAATAGTTGATATAGTTAAAATAAAAAAAATCAATAATAATCATAATATAATTAAAATGTATCAATTATAGTTCAAATATAAATATTTATCGAGTATGTTCTTTTTGAAGATTTTTTTTTTCTAAAATTCTACTATTTACCGAAAAAATTTGTCTTATAAATATCCAATTACTGTATTGAAATAATAAATTAATTTTTAATACTACTATAATATACAAAATTTACAAATAGTTGTGTAATTGAATATTTGTAAGAGGATTTTTTTTATTATTATTATGAATAATATAATTGTAGACAAAACCAGAATATATCTTATAAATTTTTATATTTGAATTAAAATCAATATATTTTAATTATATTATGATTACTATTGATTTTGTCCAATTTAACTATATCAGCTATTTTAAATTCAAAATAATTTTTTTTAAAATATAACAAAAAAATAAAATTTTAGACTAAAATAGAAATATACACGGCCGTGTAACAACATGACCCTATATAATTGTACATGATTGTGTAGTTTCCAGGTGAGCTGCCACGTCAACAATTTATGTTAGTTTTTTAACGGTGAGACTAAAATTCATTAAAATTGTTTATAATGAGACCAAAATTGATTTTGTTTATAATTAGACTAAAATTGATGAGTTCTTTTATATTGAGACTAAAATTGATAAATTTTAGTTATATTGGTACCAAACTTTATTTTTTCCCAATATTAGTAGAATCATATGTAAGAATAAATCAGTGAATTCTTCATATAATTTTTTCATATAAAACAATTTGCATCTAATTTAAAATATTTTGAAATATTTTTGTTCCCTCCTATGCTAATCGACCCAAATATTTTTTCCCGCAAACCCGACAAAGCCGAACACCTCTTCGGCCTCCGCCGTTGACACATTTTTTCTCCGTTCCGATACCTCTATCTTTCTCCCCCACTCTTTTTCCTGCACTTCTTCCTCATCGCTTTTCCATCGATTCTTTAGACAAAATTTCTCACAAGTACGACGACCGTCACCACTACTGCCGAGCCACCGCCGATGTGCTCACTCATTAGGTTGGAATTCTGTCCAACATAGTTAATCATTATGTTATTGCCAGAAATTTAATTTATTTTCAAAATAAAAAAAAATTTACTCTTAGGTTTTGGAACACACGGCATTCAAGACACCGACTTCTAAATCTATATTAACCGGGTCCGAAATCAATTTTAGGTAATTATAAATATATATTTAGTTTTCATTTTTATTTAAACGAATTCAAATAATAATTTGAATTTTCAATTATGCACCTGTAATGTTTCTATATTTATATATATATAACAGGTAATGGAAAATGATGAGTTAGTCATAAATAAGTCTTTATCTTCACGTAGATAAGGAAAATCTTCTTGCACATACAGACAACAAGACACCAAGAAAATCATACAATATCTTATAAGCATCAAACAAAATAACTAAATTAAAAATAAAAAAAATTAAAATAAACCATACAATATTTCCTAAGCATCAAACATACAACTAAATTAATACACCAAGGAAACCATATAATATTTCCTAAATATCAAACATAACAACTAAATTCATTTAAAGAAAATCATACACCAATAAAATCATACAATATCTCCTAAGCATCAAACATAAATGGAATTCATATACCAAGAAAACCATATAATATTTTCTAAATATCAAACATAACAACTAAATTAATACAAAGAAAACCATACATTCACCCAGGACAATTGTTAGTACAAAGTAAAACATAATAACAAATTTTCTTCAACTCTGTTAAAATATATTTAAAAGCAATATATAATATTTATGATAGTTATATTATTTAAGAGATTCATAGAATTTTTGCCTTATTTAGATGTGGTATCAGAGCCAAACTCTCTTTGGGTACCTCCATAACCCGTTATATCCCATGCAATATTTTTATATTTTATTAATGTATTTTCTTCTATCCACGATCATACTGTTATTTTCATGTCGTTTCCGTCTCTACTACTCCACTGACAGAATCTACTTTCGACTCTAACTCCATTGAGAGTCTTGTTTTCGACTCTAACTCTATTGAGACCGAGGGAGTCTTGTTTCCGACTCTAGCTCTGTTGTGAGCGAGCGAGTCCTATTTCCGACTCTAGCTCTATAGAGTGAGTAAGTCCTGTTTTCGGCTCTAGTACTATTGTGAGCGAGCGAGTCCTGTTTCGGCTCTAGTTCCATTGTGAGCAAGCGAGTCTTGTTTTCGGCTCTAGTTCCATTGTGAGCAAGCGAGTCCTGTTTCCAACTCTAACGGTGTTGAGAGTTCTACTTCTGACTCTGATCCAATGGACGGCTACATCACTTTCAGTCAATCTTGGTGAATTCAAATCCATACGTGGAAGATCTCGACTATATCTTTTTCGGTCACTTCTGACAAACTCAAGTTTATTCGATATCTTGAGTTTGAGGAGGGGTGTTAAAATATATTTAGAAACAATATATTATATTTATGGTAGTTATCTTATTTAAGAGATTCGTAGGATTTTTGCCTTATTTAGACGATTTGTATATTACTATAAATATGTACAAATTTTTATGATCGAAATAGAGAATTTCAGTTTTATATTCTAACAAACTCTAATAAGCTACCATAATAATCATCAGCTTGGGAAGACGAGCTTACAAAAACTACAAATACACACCAACTGCATAACATTACAACTAAATTCGCATAACAACCAAAACAACCACCAACCAAAACAATCATTTTCTTTGGAGTTTTACTTTACTTTTCTTTAATTTCCTCTCCAATTTCTTCTCTCATTCTTTCACTTTCTTTTCGATAACCTTGGACTTTTCACTTACTTCTCCAATTTCTTCTTCAATTAATTCACTTCATTCTCAAATTTCTTCGCCATCTTTTCTAACTCAAATATCTCTACATGATCATCTTGCCGGAAAACCACATGTACAAATTTCCTATGAAGATTGAGTTCTTTATGTAAAGTCTATTTTCTTATTGGCAAACCACATGTACAAAGCTCCTCTATATTCATCAATGAGGTCGATAGTATGCCATACTACAAATATAGAAGACAATGAGAAGATTTGAAAGAGAAAATTATAATGCTTGCAAAAACAGTCTTTTTTTTTTTTATTTTTTATTTTTAATTAAACACACAATTTTATGTTACAAAGAATCACGTGGAGCAGTAGCCTAACTCTTCTTTGAAGAGTAACAATTTTTTGAAACATAATCAATAATCACTAAAAAAGCATCCTTAACTTAAAAAAAAAAAAAAAAATCATATTTCATCTCTGAAAATATCCAAACTATGTTGGTAGATATAATTTGCTTGTTTATAGTCAATTAAAATCCCAAATAAACTTACTTCAAACCCAAACAAATCTAGTTTAATATAATTTTTTTCCGCAATAATATGTTTTGTACAATGTAGAAACTTTGGAGTATTTGACTAGAGGGTGAGAAATGGATAAAGGAAAAAAGAAGATTTACTAGATATTTAAAAAATTATAGTCCCAATTTTTGAATTTTCTCCCTCGAATCGGCCTAAGATAGGTGAGCGGCGGTGGCAGCATCAACGGCGGACGGCTGTTGCAAGACTTGGTAAATTTTGCTCTAACTGTCAAAATGAATCTGTTCTTGTGTCTTCGATTTTGATTGATTTTGGAGAAAATGAAGAGATCTGAAAGAAGAGCGGGAGAGAGACATATGACACGAACGGAGAGAAACCGCATGGGCAAATGCGGCATAGGCCTTCGGTGTTGTCGGTGTGTCGTAGGAAAAAAAAACTTGATTGATTTTGTAAATTTTGTTTAAAGAAAATAAGTAGATAAACGAGTTAAAAGTATCTGTTTGCAAGTAAATTAAATTTGAATGTTGATTTTATATTAATTAATAATAATAATAATAATAATAATAATAATGACTAAATACGTGTTGGACTCCTATTTAGGGTGTGTTTGTTTAGGATTTGAATTTTGAGTTAAATTTGAATAGTAAATATTTTTGAAATGAAATAATTGTATGATATGATATAAATATATATTTCGATGTGATATTTTAAATGTAATTTTAGTATAATATAAAAAAATAATATTTGATTTCAATTTTTAGAAAAAAAAAACTTTGATAAAGAATAAATTTTGAGAAGAATCCCGTAACGAACACACCCTTATTAGACTGAATAAACTAGGTAGGATTTGGGCTGACAATTCCAAGCCCAAACAAACATAATGTAAAATGATTTGGCCCCACTGGTTTGAACACACCATTATTTCTTACGTTTTTCAATTTAAAATATAATTATGATAAATAATACAATTTATAAATTAAAATTAAAATAATTAATTAATTCAATTAAAATTTAAAATATAAATTATTAAATTTAAAATACTATAAAATATATAGTTATTTTTAAAAAAGAAAAAGAATAAATTATACTCTCCATCTATCTCTAAAGTTTATATTCTTTTGCCTTTAGTATGTTTAGTATTAAAAATAATTACACAAATATTATTTTAATAGAAATATTTTTATTTTTTTTATTTTTACTATATTTTGATATAATAATTAATATCAAATTAATAAATAAATAATAAATTTAAACTTTAGAAATAAATAGAAGTATGATTCAAACAAAAATAAACAATATAGACAAATAAATTATGTAACAAACGAAAAAACTATAGACAAGAATATTGAGCATAATAATTAAGATTCAATCAAACTAAAGCAGTAATAATATCTCATGGATCACCAGTCCCACAAATAAATCTTATCCTCATATCTCTACATACATAGTGTCTAATAGGGGCGGGCACGGTTCGGTTATTTGCAAATATGCAAGTATTTGATAATCGAACCGAACCAGACAAATACCCGAAACTGCGAACCGTATTCGAACAAAAAATTTCGGTTAATCGAATTTTCAGTTAACTAAAAATATTTGTAGTATTTGCAAATAACTTGAACCGAACCGAAATTAAAAAAATATATATATAAAAAATTAAAATTCTAATTAAATAAAAATATTTGCAAATATTTCAAATATCCGAACCGAAACCGAACAGTATATAACTATTAATATAAATTTTAAAATATAATATTATAAATACATAAATATATTCGGTTCGGTTAACAGAACCGAAAAAAATATGAAAAACCGAAACCAAATCGAACCGAACAAATATCATATATACAGTATTTATATTTGAACCGAATTTGCTCGGTTAATCGAAAATTCGGTTCGATTCAGTTCGGTTCAACGGTTCGACGATTCGGTTCGATTTTTTTGCCAACCCTCTGTGTATACATACATACATATGTGTATATATAAAATAATATTTTATACTCCATAAGATAAAGTGGCATGCTAGTCTTGCTGTTCCTCCTTTGAAAAGAATAAATGCTGAAACATTTTTCTAAAGCTATAATAATATAATAAGATTATTCAGGTTTTTTGTTCGCCCTTCCTCCTTTTATTTATTATTAGATTGAAATTTGAAGTGCCAATACGAAGCTTACGAATTTGCAGATGATATTTTGGAAAAGAATTGGACAGAAAGGCGACAGCTCAATCTTGGAATCGGTTTATGAAGATGAACATCAGTTGACCGCCCGCAACAGCTCAATCTTGGCGGGGGAGGGGAGGCGATTTCAGGTTTTTTTTTTTTTGGTGATTTCTTTTCTCCCCTTTTGATTCCATGACTTTCCCCAAATATTAGATTATTACGTATCAGTGTGCGCATCGTGAAATTGTTAGATCTTAGTTTTGAGGTTTTTGAAATGAATTTTGTAAACGGAACGGACTGCTTATGCTTGGTTAATTGCTTTGTCTGCAACCCTAGGTTTCTGGTTTATTCTTTACCTGCGGTGAAAGTTTGCTGTTCTTCGCTGCAGTTTTGGATCTCTTATCTGGATTTGCTCTTCTCTAGCTCAATATCATGGCTGTCTGCCTCGTTTGAGTTTGATTAGATTCTTCTGCTACTTGATTGTTTGATTGGGGATGAGTAGTTTGCCCACTGTTTCCTAATAAGGGTAATTTATTTTGCACAAAACGTTGTGGTAAGGGCAATATGGTGTTAACTGATAATGGTGAGAGTGCTTGTGGAGGTGAGGAAACTGCTACAGATAATGTTAAAAGCAACACCTCTCTGCACGTTTCAACGTCTCAAAGAGGTCTGATAACTGAGGAAACTTCACAGAGTGGGTACAACAGTTCCCTCTCTGCTCTTCCAAGAATGTTAATGTTCTTGAAGTTTGGTGATTTGGCATCACCGACCGCCAAATTCCACCGAATTGCTGAGGAGAGGGATGAGGTTTCGCGCAATGTGCCTTCCTCCAGCAGTCTTCACATCCGCGAACGGTTTCAGAGAATCTTTTCTAGGAGAGTTGATTGGACTTGTCTTTGGAAGCTTTGCAAGGAATGGATAAAGGATCCCATGAATCTGGCTCTTTTTGTCTGGATTGTTTGTGTTGCTGTGTCGGGTGCGATCCTGTTTATGGTCATGACTGGAATGCTTAACCATTCTATCCCGAAGAAGTCTCAGAGGGACACGTGGTTTGAGGTCAATAACCAGATTCTCAACGCGTTGTTCACACTTATGTGTTTGTATCAACACCCTAAGCGGATATACCACTTAGCGTTGCTATTGAGATGGAGGACGGAAGACGTCCTGAAACTAAGAAAAATTTACTGCAAAAACGGCACTTATAAACCCCATGAATGGGCACACATGATGGTGGTGGTGATTCTACTCCACCTCAACTGTTACGCACAGTATGCATTGTGTGGCCTTAACTTGGGATATAAGCGTTCAGAGCGACCGGCAATTGGTGTTGGAATATGTATTTCGGTTGCCATTGGTGCTCCAGCATTTGCCGGTGTTTACTCCATGCTTAGCCCCCTTGGGAGAGAATACGAGACTCAGACGGATGAAGAAGCTCAAATTCAAGTCACTGGCGGAGCGAGTGACCGGCAAAGTCAATCGAGGCGAATGTCATTTGAAAAGAGATTCTCATTCGCATCAAGAGACATCGAAAGAACTGTTGAGCGACAGCCACAGTGGAGCGGAGGTATTCTTGATTTCTGGGACGACATCTCTTTAGCATATCTCTCATTGTTCTGCAGCTTCTGCGTATTCGGATGGAACATGGAGAGGCTCGGATTTGGCAATATGTACGTCCACATCGCAACTTTTCTTCTTTTCTGTATGGCCCCTTTTTGGATCTTCAACCTGGCAGCCGTCAACATCAATAATGAGACGGTCAGGGAGGTGTTGGGCATCACCGGAATCTTCCTTTGTATTTTTGGCGTCCTTTACGGAGGGTTCTGGAGAATTCAAATGAGGCGGAGATTTAATCTACCCGCCTATAAATCTTGCTGCGGTAAACCTGCTGTCAGCGACTGTGCCCTGTGGCTGTTCTGTTGTTGGTGCTCTCTAGCTCAGGAAGTAAGGACGGGAAATTTCTACGACATAATGGAAAATGAATTATACAGGAAAAAAGAGGGATCGGTGGCAATGGCTCCATTGGGTCGAGAAGATGGTGAGTTTCAATTTCGGTCGAGCCCATCTTCTCCTTTTGGGAACAGTCCTTCGCCCCCACACGTCAAGGGGGGCTCTACCCCTCCCGCTCACTCTCCAAGTCCGAGCCGGTTAAGACAAATGTCTTTGATCGAAGAAGAAGAAGAAGAAGGAGGAGATCGAGATGGTATAGTGCATCACAAAGATGAAGAAAAGATGATCCCGCCAGATCCCATGGTAATATCTAGATGAAAAAGACAATTTTGAATGCTGCCATAGTATGTATTGTAAAGACTTATGTATCTATCTATCTATCTATCTGTATTTTCTCTGTTTGTTGTTGTTATTCTATGAAAATATTAGGTTGAGTTTTTGACTGATTGTGTCGTGTCGGATGGTATATCCATTTATTATTCTTCAGCTCATCTGTTTATGAAGGCATTCAGTAGGGTGTGTTTGTTTGGAGGATTGAATTTTAAACACACTATTTATCCCATTTAAAATTTTTATTATTTGTTTCAGCTACCAATTCATCTTAGTTGTAGTAGCAGTATTACACATTTGTCATTCTTTTGAAGGTGACATTAAACTTAAGAATTATAAGGCCATCACCCCCATGGATGATATATATATATCTTTTTTCAATCCAAGTTGAATCATCAACTCAAACAAGAATTTGGTTCTAGGTTTTTGACACAATTTTTATTATTCAATGTTTTCTTCAACATTAAATTTAATATATATTTTAATATTATAGTATCAAATATTTATTTAAATTAAAAGAAATTTTGATTAAATTGTATAAGATAAATAACATTTAAGTTCAGTCAAATAACATTTAAGTTTAGTCCTCTGTTGTACTTTCTAATTTTGTAAAATATTTAAAGGATAACTTTCTATTATTTTGTACTCTGAAATTTTCGTGCTATAGAAATTTAATTTCAAAGGGATTTACCTTGCTAACAACACTTTTTTGGATGTGGCTCATGAAGCACATCCCACTGGACGATGGAAACATACCCAGTGGGGAGAAACAGACTTGTTACCGGTGGCATTGGGATGTCCTACTTGGCCATTGCCATTGCATTTTTCGCATGTACCCTTATATTTATTCAGCCTTTTGATTTTGATGGCTTTGGGTGCCAACTAAGCTGATTTTTGCCCAGATCCATTTCATTTAGGCTCAAGAAAACAACGAATGTTCAAATAAATTAGATTAGATTCTTCTTTAATGATCGATTTTATTAATTAGATTTAAATATTTGAACTAGGACACACCGGGATGTGTTAAAGTTCCGTGCTATACTTAGCTATATTCTGATTATCACTGAATAAACTAAATCGATGTCGTACCAAAAAGTTTTAGATGGCATGAAAGAGTCATTCCCGACAACGTAACACAATGAATTCAAGAAGTTTTAATTATATAACATCAAGTGTGTATAGTTTGGATGAATGATTTTGAACGTTTTGTGAATTTAATTAGTGTTGTTGCTCGATTGTATGACTGGTTTTGTATTGTCCGTCATTTAAATTTGTTAAGTTTATCATTGATGTTGTGTAAACTATATGATTAATTGTATTAGATATACATATCTATGATTATTAGTGTTAGTTAGAATACATGAATCTATTGCAATTGCTGGTTATATTATGAATTAGCAATTTTACGTAACCTAATACTCACTCTGTCCCACATAATTTGTCCATATTTTTTATTTTCGTCCGTCTCACATAATTTATCCTTTATTTTTTGAAAGATTATACACTTTAATCATATTTTAAAATTTAAAATTTTTTTAATTTTAATTTATAATTATTTTTACTAATACACTTCTTAATTAATTACTAATTATATTTTACCTAAATTCTCGTATCTACAGTAATGCGCCCATCTTATCTGGGACGGAGGGAGTATATCTTAGCATTTCATTCTTTTTACCTTGTTCGTCGCTCTTGATTCCTGCTTAATTACTTAGGCCAGGGATCATCATCAAGTTAGAACAGTTATTGATTGATATTGTCTATTAATAATAGTTGTTGCTATATTTTCTTGAATGTAATCGTACTAGTATTGTTGTTGAGGATTGATGTATCAATTCATTATTGTGTTGCTAAGCATCTTAGTCGTGCACGGTTAGTCATCTCTTATTTTTATCGTGCCATAGAACTTGTTGGATGATATATGACGTCGATTGTATTTGAATGGCTCCGTTATTTCGAATGTTTTTTCTATGTGTGATATCTAGTTTTATACTAGTTATGAAAGAATATAATTCATGTTATTTAGCACCTTATTTGGGATGTAACAAATACCGATCAAATTTTAACGTTTAGCAGGTCGTAACATAAAACTTCTGTCCGCGAGGAAATATATTTGTATTGGTTTTTTTGTTATGCATGTTTTCGTAACAATTTTATTTTATTTATTGCGGTATAAAACTTGTAACAAAAGTTCTCTCCACATGTGATTGAGAAGCTGTCAGACGGGTATTATTTTACAAATATTCTCTACAAGAAAAAATTATTTTTTAACAAATTTTTTTTTGTCTTTAAATCTACTTTTTCCGTTACTAATGACATTAGAGACGGAATTAGAAATAGAATTATATTAGCTACGTGAACTTTAGAGACGAAATTCTATTACAAATATATTATTTTTTTTGTAGTGATTGTCGTGTCAAAATACTTTCGTAACACAAGTACATGTTACACAGCAAATATTTGTAACAAAATCAACACAAATGCATATTGTATAGGACATTTGAGCTTTTGTTGTGATATTCAAAGCATGACAAACAAAAAAGTGGGTTTGTTCTTTTTTCTTTTCTTTCTTTTTTCACAGGTTTTAAAAAAAAAAATTAATACACACTATACATATTTATTATTTTTACATTCTCTACACAATTTTATTTCTTTTACGTACATATATGTATTTCTAACTATTTCACAAAAAAAAATACACCTATAGTTTTTTTGCTGGTATTCCAAATGATTTATAATGAGATGAGAAAAGTAAATTTAAATAATGTACACATTTTAATTCTATAAAATACACAGTTTTTAAAAATCTAATTATTTCACTTATTTATTGTAATCGTATAAAGTTTGTTTACTTTTCTCATCTTAATACGTGAAAACAAGTAGCTTTTTGCCGACGTGACATGTCTAATAAGCCAAATAGAATTCCGCATATCGGTATATAGTTAATGTTTCTTTAGTCGAGTTTCCCTAAATTTTACTATTTCAATTCTGTATTTTTTAAAAATATATATATTTTTTTTACAAAATATCACATCAAATATTATTTTTATACAAAATTCAAACCAATTTCTTTCCGAACTCATAATATATATATATATTTCTTTTGTGATTTCAATAGCTAGCATACAATGAAAGGCGGTTTAATAATAATAATAATAATAATAATCGTGATGGTATATATAGTAGGTCATGAGGAAATTTCCCAGAACCTTCCCGGTCATAATACAAAAAGGCTGATATTAGAAATAGAAGTACGTGCGTTGTCTTCATGTTCCCTTCTCGTCACAACAAAGAATCTAATCAATATATATATATATATATACATACACGCGAGAAATGTTGCAGTGTACTTATTTTTTTAAATCAGCACCCATAAACTACAAGAACAACACATGCCATTATTAAAAATAGTAGGTTACAGTGCTGATACTAATTTTTTTAAATCAGCGCGCACCCATAAAATACAAGAACAACACAAGTTTTTATTAAAAACAGCACACACTGTTTGTAATAATGACATGTGCTATTTGTCGTAATTACACATATGTTGTACAAGTGTATGTATCTGCTGAAATGAACTGTTGCATATACGTTGTATCAGACTATATAATGCGTTGTTAGTTTATGTGTTATGTTTGTATTATATGAATATAAATGATGTGTTGTCACTAATATAACAGTGTGTTGTTTGCTAGCTATCTGTGTGTTGTTAGTTCACGTGTTGTGTTTGTATTATATTAATATAAATGACGTGCTGTCACTAATATTATCGTATTCTATTTGTTAGCTATATGTATGCTCAGCACAATGCTGAATTTGAGATTCAGCACTCTGGCCACATATATGCACTAATGACGATGTTTTAAAAACAACCAATATTTATTAATCGTCCATTAATTAATTCTTTGTGCTCGATCATCTGTGATAGACATTATTTATTTATTCTGCGAAACCCTAAATCTCTCTGAATTTGATCATATTGTATTGTATTATGTGATGAAGTTGGTGACACATGGGATCCTTCTTTGTATATCATTTGGCTGTTTCTGCTCATTATATTTATTTACTACATTATTAGCACATCTTAATTTGTAAGGATCCCTTCAAAGTATTTAGATATCTTCACCAAACCCACCATTTTTGTCCATTCACTTACCAGGGTGTTTTTCTTTAGGGTGGATTTGGAAAGATTGGATTAAATGTTTTTGTAATTTTGGGAAACTGTGTTTTTTTTTTTTTTTTTTTTGGTATAGTAATATTTTATTTGGCTTCGGTGATTTTGATGGACAGTGATTTGATAGGTAATAATTGCGAAGGATTACGGTGGTGCTGACTCTAGTCATATATATAAATAACACAGTTTTATTATACACGACATATTTTGTGTAATAAAGATATGTGTTGTTTACTAATAATTATACAATTTTATATAATGTGCTAAAATTAACTGTAACATGTGCTATTAGTTAATGTGTTTATTTGTATTATTATTACAATTTAATTAGTGTTGTTTCTCGATGGTATTAGTTCTCAATATGCATGAGAATATAACATGTGCTATTACATTTGGTTACGATCGACTATTAAGTCATTGAACCACACTATTCTAGTATGTCAATTTTTTAATAATAGGAAACATTACAAATTGAATATTCATGATCACAAATATAATTTTAATTAAGAAATATCAATTTGATTTTTGAGAGTCCTGTTATATATTTGTGAACAAAAAAACTCAAATTCAATTCATTCACAAAAATAAGAAGATTAAAACAATCGTGTTCAACTCATTAAACTCTTTTGATAAACTTTAAAATCAAACTAGCTGATCTTACAAGTAATACCACATTTTCAATATGAAATAATAATAATAATAATAATAATAATAATAATAATAATAATAATAATAATAATAATAATAATAATAATAATAGATTCTGTACGTAAGGTTGAATTATGTTGGTTTACAACCATTTCTGATGGGAGATCATATTAAATGAAAATTGAATTTTTCATAAATGACTGCTTGAATTTGTGTCACCTATATATTTATTAAAAGTGAAGTATGAAAAAACCTGAGATAATTGTGATTTTTGTCAAAACTTTATTGTGAGAAAAGTACTTTCACTATATATATATATATATATATATATGTTAATGTAGATGAACAAATACATATAGTTGAATTAAAGTATAGTTATTTTTTAAAAATAAAAACCAACATACAAAACGAAAAGTGGTAACTTATAGTAAAA